AGCTGGCGCGGCGCCCCAGCTCAGCCTCCGCCTCGCGACGGCGGGGCAGTGGGAGCGCAGTGACTTCCTGACAGATTTATTTCATTACGAGAGAAAGATCTGAGACTCGCCCTCCTTAATAACTGTGCTGACAAGTGACAACTTCACCCCATTACTTTCCAATGGGAACATTACTCACGCAATATTGAAAATGCAGAAACATTTTCGCGTGCTTTTCAAATCTGAGATGATGTATGAAATGAGGAGGCTCGGCGGTGTCCGGCGCTGCGGGGACGAGCGGGGGACACCCAGTTTCCGAGGGGAGCGGGATGGGCGCCGATTCTGCGCTAAGAGGGGCATGGCCACGGGGCGTGGGGAGAAAGTTCCCGTGACGCAGGCTCGGGGGCGCCCCCGCGTCCCGGTGCTCACGGGAAGCTGCTCCCGGGCGTGAGAAGGGCCGGGCACCGGGCGCTGTTTCTCTGGGGCGGTAGGAGCCCGGAATGAGACGGAAATGAAAAAGCAACAGATACAAAGTTGCAAAACCCAAAACGTGTGGCCGTGGTTCCTGTGGGCTAGAGGGAAATGAGATACATCTCAATTCCGCGCCGTGAATTTCAGCACGGGGTTAGGGGCTCCCTTTTCCCTAATGAAGTCTCTGTTTAATGTGCGGGAAGAGCTACGTGAGAACCCGAAGCCCTCTGCCCCCCGCGTCTCAGTTCACGGGAACCCGAGGCTTCCTGTCCTGAGCTAAGACTCGACGCTCACGGGAGGATGTAGAGCGATTTGATTCAAAGGGGCCACTACAGGTACTCCTGGAATTTTGTAAATTCTAAATTTGGAAATCCATCTCCAGTCCAGAATAATTAACAGAACAACTTAAAAGCATCAGCATCTTCCTCAAGGCGGCACATCTGTCCCCCTCTCTCCGAGCGGGACGCCCGGGTTCCAGGGAGCCGAGCGGAGGAGCCGAGCTCGGTGCTGGATCACACGCTGAGATGCGGGGCAGAGAAACACGGCCGGGGTGGGGCAGGAGCCCCCGACCCTCTAAGTTCAGTGAGTCCTCAAACCAGCGTTCCAGGAGAGAGCAGGGGGGCCAGCGGTCAGGCGAAAGCGCCTGTGTCTCAGCCCACGATTACTTTTTTGACAACAGGCTGTAGCATACAGGGTGTCCCCCCAAAACGTATACGCACTTCAACAGCTGAAAGTTCCATTTTGAAAATGAAACGTATTTTAAAAAACGCTGCCTTTATAATTACTCAAAGTGTGTGTACACATTTTTGGGGGGACACCCTAAGTATCCATCCATTTGAAATCCAACCACTAACCTAAAACAGACCCCCTGGGTGGAACACGGCCGCACACACGAGGGTCCGGCAAGGTCCCCCGTTCTCCCGCCAGCTCTGAGACGACACCCCCGGGGCACAGCCCGCGTGACCGCTGACATGGCTCTCGGTCTGGTCCCCCGCCTGCGTCGGAGGGACTGCGGTGCGCCCGCCTGACACGCACAACTAGAGGCCTAACAAGAGTTTGCCGCACAGGCCGGGGAGGCGGGCAGCTCGCCCGGAGGGCCGCCGCCGGGCCGGGCCGACAGCGAGCAAAGAGGGAGGAGGGTTAAGACGGTCCCATTATCACCTCCGTCTTCACAGGCATGTTTAACTTTCTCCAGGGGTGAAAGGGGCAGGGCAGGGAAAACCTCACCAACTACCTGCCACCCTGGAGCCGCCACAGGGAAGGGGCTTGGCCGCTGAGCCCTCCGTCCAGCCGGAGCCCCCTTCCCCCGGGTGGCCCGGAGGCCGCCGCAGCTCTGCAGGGGGCCCACGGTCTCCTCCGCGGGAGACAAAACGCCCCGCACACCGTCCGTGCACCGTCCACTCCGCCGCCTTATCTTCACGGGGAGACTCTGAGCCGGGCAGCGCGTTTTCACGGCGCCGGGGATGCGCTGCTCTAACGGCGTCAGCATTAACCGGGAAGCTTTTAAAGATACCACGTCAATGACACCGCTGTCATAAAGCTCCAGGAGGGGCAGCGCAAGGCCGAGTGCGACCGTGGACACAAAGGAGGGTGAGATGGAAGTGTGGCTACGGGTAATAAACACCAACTTCGAGGTGGGGCTGGCCCCTGGGCAGGGAGGCAGGGGACCCTCTGGGGGACCCTCTGGGTGGCTGGGACCGTCACCCACGATTGGTTTGCTTCCGGAAGCTGCAGCTCTTTTTGATGAGCTGCATGGTGAGTCTCCGCCTGTGCTGTTCCTTCCGAGTCTGAGTGTCCTTCCCGATGAAACATTGTATCCACACGCAGGTCAGGCCCCTGCACTAGCCGAGTGGTCCTAAGAACCCAGGTTACAGAGCCGGGAGCTGAGCGGCGGTAGCCTTTTAGCCTCTCTCCTCTCAAAACAGTATTTACTTTTTTTAAATAAGCAAAACAAGATATAATTTAGCCTTTGATTAGTAAAGTATAACTCCTACCACAAATGTAACACATCCTTTGCTACTACAGCAGAGATTCTGCTACTTTGTAAAAAATGCACGCCATTTACTTTTGTTTAGAATTGTGCGAGCAAACAGACCTCTGGGGCTGCCAACAAACGCTCAGCCCAGCGTCACGCCTCACAGGCCCGCGCTGTCCACTTGTAAGCGCGGCATTTGAGAGCCGACGTGCGTGCTACTTAAGTCCGGCCGCTTTATGACGCTCCCGTAAATAAGGTGGAGCGTGTCCCTTCGTCTGGGAGCTCACGATCCCAGTCTGCACGGGTTTTACTAACTAAATGAGTTCAGCAGAGGGCACATCCGTCCTGCTACACGCTTTTATAGAAACACAGCTTTCCCCCCCC